ATGAGATATGATCAAGGACTGAATTAACAGAGTGGCTCGCGTATAAAGAGGAGGGAACAGAATAGAAAGACATTATGAAATTAAAGAACTAATTGGACATATTTTAGGTTGACTATTAGGTATCTAACTTGGGAGAAATCAGTGTGCCATTAGTCAAAATGGGGGAAAGAGAGTAATAGTTGGTTATTTTGGTTGGGGGGACTGGCCATGTTGAATTTGATATGACACTTGTGGGACATGCAGATAGAATGTACAAGTGGTGCAGAGAAATGAAGTTCTGTGGCTTCATCATGGAGTCAGGTAGAAGATGAAGATTTGTGAGACATTAACATATGAGGGGTCTTCAAAAAGTTCAAGGAAGGATTTGTAATATCTTTCAAGTCTATTTTTCCACAAACTTTTTAAAGTACCCTTATGATTCAGGCAAGTTAGATGATGAGCGTGGATCAATTTATTCATGGAGAGTAATTCTAATAAATGAAAAAGGAAACAATTAAAGGTGAAATAAGAAAAGAGGGAAGATTGGGAAGAACTGCCTACAGAAGTAGGAAAAAAATAGGAATAGAAGTGGAGTCCCAAGAGCCACAGAAGTACTGAAACAGAAAAAGCCGCAGACAAACCTGGAGCTATGAGGTCTAAAAAGTATCTTGTCAGCCTGGCAGTTTGGTCATGAGTGATCTTAGGGATAGCAGTTCTATGGCTGAGTAGTGAATATCATGTACCAATATACAGTGTGGAAGTTGAGAGAGTGAGTGTATACTATCGGGAAGAAAAAAGAGATTTGAAGAAAACGAAGGGACATTTTTGTTTCATTTAGGAGAGAAGAGTCAAACATCACAATAGGAAGAGATGGTAGAAAAATAGGTTGAAGATACGAAATAGGAAATAAATGCTAAGAGGGAAGTAAGAGACAAATATAAAGGAATGAAAGAATTAGGAGGAAACAGACAGAAAACTGAAACTTTGCTTCTAAGTTGGTGGTCAGAGATAACTAACATTTTATAGTTAAAATATTTCATGTATACTATCTTATTAAATTCTCATTATATAAAATGAAGGAGAATGTGTTATTTCTAGTTTAGAGAATTAAAGAAAGGCTCAAAGATGTTACAAGCAGTAAATAAATCCATACAATGACATTTAGCTAGATTTTAAAAAATTAATAAGCACAGCATATCATAATCAAGCCTCACATAAAGAAGAATGAAAGTCTGTATAGTAGGTATTACATATGAACATAGACTGATAATCAGAGTGGCTCACCTCATGCTCTGGAGAGAGATGTTCCATGTCAGTCCGTAAACATCTGAGACCAGGTAAAAAATGATTTACCATTAAATCCTCTGAAATGACTTAAAACAAGGTAGTTAAGGGAATTTAAACAAACCAAACTGGTATGTCCAAGA